TGCTGTACACTCACTATAGCTTGTGTAGAGAAGTCTGTCTAAGTAACATACAAGAAAAATATGGCACAAATTGTAAAATTGTGGATATTGTAGGTACTTATCATGCAACAATTCTAAGGCACATTATGGTCAATTGGACATAGAAGAGGACTTGCAAAAATGTTTATTTGGAGTGAGCCTGTGTTTTATAGGCATGGCGTGTCTACTGACACTCTGGATAATCACATACTCTGTTTGTCATGTCAGAATGGGAGGAGTTCACTGATGTTTGCATCTCTGATTGGACATGTGGAGGTGGTGGACAAGTTATTACAACATGGAGCCACAGTAGACCTGCAAACAGAGGTACACACACTATATGTACATAATACAAACACGTGTGCAAGACGTAATCTCAGAACAGTGAAGTGAAGGGAACATGTGTACTTCATACTATGAGCTCTCTGAAAAAGTCTGTCGTCTAGGTCAGGTGCACGATCAGCAACACAGCAGATTGCATTCCGTTTTATCACTTACATATACATGTAGCATCCATCATTTTCAAAATAGCATAGAAATGTGTGGCTTCATTGCTTAAGCCCCAATGCCTTTCTTTTTACCTGAAAAAGCCCATGGTATATAGCTCCGCTCACCACTGCTTTACATATGTACTATATTGGTGACGATTAGGATCATTATCTATGGTTTGTCCGTCTGTTACCACGTTTTCTGCCACCACGTGCAACGGGACAACAAAAGAGTGAAACCAAAAGGTTCAGTGCTACACTGGCTTGGTTTTATGTTTAGTGAATTTCGTAAAAGTACTGCGTTCCAGACTTATGGCGTAGAAAGCAACTGAAACTGCGATTCAGATTGGCTTATCGTGGATACTGAATCAAAACTGTTTTTTTGCAAAACTCATTACCTACTACTCTGTGTGTCATGGCAGGATGGGTGGAGTTCACTGATGTACGCATCTCAGGAGGGACATGTGGAGGTGGTTGACAAGTTATTACAACATGGAGCCACAGTAGACCTGCAAAAAGAGGTACACACACTATATGTACATACGCAATGCAAGCAAACACGTGTGCAAAACATAATCTCAGAACAGTGAAGTGAAGGGAACATGCATACTTCATACTATGAGCTCTCTGAAAAAGTCTGTCGTCTAGGTCAGGTGCACGATCAGCAACACAGCAGATTGCATTCCGTTTTATCACTTACATATACATGTAGCATCCATCATTTTTCAAAATAGCATAGAAATGTGTGGCTTTATTGCTTAAGCCCCAATGCCTTTCTTTTTACCCGAAAATGCCCATGGTATATAGCTCCGCTCACCACTGCTTTACATATGTACTATGTTGGTGACGATTAGAATCATTATCTATGGTTTGTCCGTCTGTTACCATGGTTTCTGCCATCACGTGCAACGGGACAACAAAAGAGTGAAACCAAAAGGTTCAGCACTACACTGGCTTGATTTTATGTTTAGTGAATTTCGTAAAAGTACTGGGTTCCAGACTTATGGCGTAGAAAGCAACTGAAACTGCGATTCAGATTAGCTTATCGTGGATACTGAATCAAAACTGTTTTTTGCAAAACTCATTACCTACTACTCTGTGTGTCACGTCAGAATGGGTGGAGTTCACTGATGGCTGGATCTCTGGGGGGACATGTGGAGGTGGTTGACAAGTTATTACTACATGGAGCCACAGTAGACCTGCAAGAAGAGGTACACACACTATATGTACGTAATGCAAACACGTGTGCAAAACGTAATCTCAGAACAGTGAAGTGAAGGGAACATGTGTATATACCTCGTACTATGAGCTCTCTGAAAAAGTCTGTCGTCTAGGTCAGGTGCACGATCAGCAACACAGCAGATTGCATTCCGTTTTATCACTTACATATACATGTAGCATCCATCATTTTCAGAAATATGTGGCTTTATTGCTTAAGCCCCAATGCCTTTCTTTTTACCCGAAAATGCCCATGGTATATAGCTCCGCTCACCACTGCTTTACATTTGTACTATGTTGGTGACGATTAGGATCATTATCTATGGTTTGTCCGTCTGTTACCATGGTTTCTGCCACCACGTGCAACGGGACAACAAAAGAGTGAAACCAAAAGGTTCAGTGCTACACTGGCTTGGTTTTATGTTTAGTGAATTTCGTAAAAGTACTGGGTTCCAGACTTATGGCGTAGAAAGCAACTGAAACTGTGATTCAGATTGGCTTATCGTGGATACTGAATCAAAACTGTTTTTTGCAAAACTCATTACCTACTACTCTGTGTGTCATGGCAGGATGGGTGCAGTTCACTGATGTACGCATCTCAGGAGGGACATGTGGAGGTGGTGGACAAGTTATTACAACATGGAGCCACAGTAGACCTGCAAAAAGAGGTACACACACTATATGTACATAACGCAATGCAAGCAAACACGTGTGCAAAACGTAATCTCAGAACTGTGAGGTGAAGGGAACATGTGTACTTCATACTATGAGCTCTCTGAAAAAGTCTGTCGTCTAGGTCAGGTGCACGATCAGCAACACAGCAGATTGCATTCCGTTTTATCACTTACATATACATGTAGCATCCATCATTTTCAAAATAGCATAGAAATGTGTGGCTTTATTGCTTAAGCCCCAATGCCTTTCTTTTTACCCGAAAATGCCCATGGTATATAGCTCCGCTCACCACTGCTTTACATATGTACTATGTTGGTGACGATTAGAATCATTATCTATGGTTTGTCCGTCTGTTACCATGGTTTCTGCCATCACGTGCAACGGGACAACAAAAGAGTGAAACCAAAAGGTTCAGCACTACACTGGCTTGATTTTATGTTTAGTGAATTTCGTAAAAGTACTGGGTTCCAGACTTATGGCGTAGAAAGCAACTGAAACTGCGATTCAGATTAGCTTATCGTGGATACTGAATCAAAACTGTTTTTTGCAAAACTCATTACCTACTACTCTGTGTGTCACGTCAGAATGGGTGGAGTTCACTGATGGCTGGATCTCTGGGGGGACATGTGGAGGTGGTTGACAAGTTATTACAACATGGAGCCACAGTAGACCTGCAAGAAGAGGTACACACACTATATGTACGTAATGCAAACACGTGTGCAAAACGTAATCTCAGAACAGTGAAGTGAAGGGAACATGTGTATATACCTCGTACTATGAGCTCTCTGAAAAAGTCTGTCGTCTAGGTCAGGTGCACGATCAGCAACACAGCAGATTGCATTCCGTTTTATCACTTACATATACATGTAGCATCCATCATTTTCAGAAATATGTGGCTTTATTGCTTAAGCCCCAATGCCTTTCTTTTTACCCGAAAATGCCCATGGTATATAGCTCCGCTCACCACTGCTTTACATATGTACTATGTTGGTGACGATTAGGATCATTATCTATGGTTTGTCCGTCTGTTACCATGGTTTCTGCCACCACGTGCAACGGGACAACAAAAGAGTGAAACCAAAAGGTTCAGCACTACACTGGCTTGGTTTTATGTTTAGTGAATTTCGTAAAAGTACTGGGTTCCAGACTTATGGCGTAGAAAGCAACTGAAACTGTGATTCAGATTGGCTTATCGTGGATACTGAATCAAAACTGTTTTTTGCAAAACTCATTACCTACTACTCTGTGTGTCATGGCAGGATGGGTGCAGTTCACTGATGTACGCATCTCAGGAGGGACATGTGGAGGTGGTGGACAAGTTATTACAACATGGAGCCACAGTAGACCTGCAAAAAGAGGTACACACACTATATGTACATACGCATGCAAGCAAACACGTGTGCAAAACGTAATCTCAGAACTGTGAGGTGAAGGGAACATGTGTACTTCATACTATGAGCTCTCTGAAAAAGTCTGTCGTCTAGGTCAGGTGCACGATCAGCAACACAGCAGATTGCATTCCGTTTTATCACTTACATATACATGTAGCATCCATCATTTTCAAAATAGCATAGAAATGTGTGGCTTCATTGCTTAAGCCCCAATGCCTTTCTTTTTACTGAAAATGCCCATGGTATATAGCTCCGCTCACCACTACTTTACATATGTACTATATTGGTGACGATTAGGATCATTATCTATGGTTTGTCCGTCTGTTACCACGTTTTCTGCCACCACGTGCAACGGGACAACAAAAGAGCGATACCAAAAGGTTCAGTGCTACACTGGCTTGGTTTTATGTTTAGTGAATTTCGTAAAAGTACTGCGTTCCAGACTTATGGCGTAGAAAAGCAACTGAAACTGCGATTCAGATTGGCTTATCGTGGATACTGAATCAAAACTGTTTTTTTGCAAAACTCATTACCTATACTCCTCTGTGTGTCATGTCAGGATGGGTGGAGTTCACTGATGGCTGCATCTCAGGAGGGACATGTGGAGGTGGTGGACAAGTTATTACAACATGGAGCCACAGTAGACCTGCAAACAGAGGTACACACACTATATGTACATAACGCAATGCAAGCAAACACGTGTGCAAAACGTAATCTCAGAACTGTGAGGTGAAGGGAACATGTGTACTTCATACTATGAGCTCTCTGAAAAAGTCTGTCGTCTAGGTCAGGTGCACGATCAGCAACACAGCAGATTGCATTCCGTTTTATCAGTTACATATGCATGACATATACATGTAGCATCCAGAAGCGGATAATAAGGAAGTGGTGTGTAGACAGATTTTCGGATGAGGGAGTAAGAGCGAAGTATAGCGAGGCCTTGAAAGCGGAGGTTGAACCATTTTCAGAGAGTATCAGGGAGAAAGTGAGTGAGGGTATTAGTGAAAGTGGGTTAGTCAGTGCAGTTGTTGAGGAGTGGGAGCAAGTTGTAAAAAAGGTGGCAAGGGCTGAGGTGTAGGAGAGAAGGTGGTAGTGTGTGGCAGGGCAGTCAGGTGGTGGGATGACGAGATTAAGCAGAAGATTGAGCAGAGAAGGGAGGCTTTCAAGAAAATTATTGAGGGTCAGGATTATCTATGGGAGGAATATAGTAAACTGCATAGGGATGTGAAGAATTTAGTTGTTCAGAAGGAGCTTGAGGTTTGCAATGTCAGATTTTGAAGGTAATAGGAAAGAATTTGTGCATTTGTTGGTAGGACAAAGGGTAAGAGGAGGCAGATTACAGCTTTGAGGAATAGTGCTGGGGTGTCAGTGACTAGTACAAAGGGTAAGTTAGAGGTGTTAAAGAGGCATTATCAGCAGTTGGGCACTTGCAGTGTTGATAGAGCTTTTGATGATAGTTGGAAATAGGAAGTGGATAAGAAAGTGTGTGGTTTCAAAAACAGATTGTGTGGAAAATCTATTGGAAATATAGGGAAATAGATTTGGAGGAGATTGCATTGTGTGTTAGAGAGTTGAAGAATAACAAGACTGGTGGTAGTCATGGGCTTGTGGGGGAGCTTCTACAGTATGGTGGGTCAGGGATGGTAGAGTTACTTAAACAGTTGTTTACAGTAATTTGGCGTGAGGAGTTTGTACCACCACAGTGGAGGGAGGGCCTCATAGTTAACCTGTTTAAGAAAGGAGATAAGGAGGATCCTGGGAATTATAGGGGTATCACTCTGCTGAGTGTGGTTGGGAAGGTCTTTTGTAAGGTTTTGAACAATAGGTTGGTGAAGCATCTGGACAAGGCCAAAGCATTGCATGAGGGTCAGGCTGGTTTTAGGGTTGGAAGGGGTTGTGTTGATAATATTTATCACTAAGTATGGTAGTACTTAGTATATAGGGATTGGCATGGTACCTAGTATCATAGATGTACTTGGGGCTATGATAGGGAGTTTTGTTCATCTTCTTCTTCTTCTCCTTCTTCTTCAGATTCAACACCCATAACTCAAAAACTAAACAACATAAAGTAATGAAATTTTGTAAGAATGTAGATATCCATCACCTGAAGAGACTGGTCATACTTATTTATTTGTAAACAACAACAAATAGCCCCAGGCTATACATTATAATGGATCACATTTCAGTTTATACCGCAGTTGACCAATCAGATTACAGAATTGCGGGGGGTTTATTGGTTGGACATCATTTCTAAAATCTCACACGTAAAAAAAGCGTCGTGTTCCATCCGAAGGTAAGAATGAGCGCAGCGTTGCTAGCTTTTTGCTACCCATTTGAACGCGCAAACACCAATCAGATACTCCGGTCTAAACCGGTTAGACGCGGAAGCTCGGTGTCAACGTTACATTGCAACCCTCGGGGCATGTGGGTAGCAGCGCCCTCGCTGCGCTCGGGACGCCCACATTCCACAGTCCCTCGGGTTGCAATTTAGTGTAGACACCTCACTTCCGCGTCTAACCTATATATAACTCACCAATGGTAAGAGCTATGTGAACGAAACTTTGTAGACATCAATCACCAACATCAAAATTACAACAATACATGTTTGTAAACAACAAGAATTAGCCTCAGGCACTTTTCTTTAAATTTACTGCTTCACTCCTCAATGGTAGCACACATAGAGATGAAACTTGGTACATATGCCTATTATATTATTTCCATGACGATTACTTGTTTCCGTGACGACCACATTTTGTTTGAAAGAAGCCTCAGGCAATTTTCTTTAACACCACTTCTTCAATCCTCAAACTTGCTAATTGTAGCACATATGGAGATGAAACTTGGTACGAGTGTGTGTAACATCGTTTCCATGACGACCACAACAACAAATAGCGTCAGGCACTTTTCTTTAATATTACTTCTTCACTCCTCAAGCTTGCTATTTGTAGCACTCATGGAGGTGAAACTTGGTGCGCATGTGTATTACATCGTTTCCATGACGACCACAACAACAAATAGCCTCAGGCACTTTTCTTTAAAATGACTTCTTCACTCCTCAAACTTGCTAACGGCAGCACACATGGGAATGAATGCATATCATTTCCATGACGACAACAGGCCTTTATTCTCTATTATTAATTTTTATAGGGGCTTGCCCCCTTCCACAGAGATAAGTATAGGTTAGACGCTGAGCCGCGGGAACTACGCGATTTAGTGAGCCGAGGAGCCCTGAGCTGTCGGCGTCCCGAGCGCTGCGAGGGCGCTACTAAGGGCTCCGAGGCTCACTAAATCACGTAGTTTCCCAAGGTGACGCGTCTAACCGGCTTAGACTACAGTGCAAGTCCGTCCCGCTGCAGTGTCCGTTGTAGGCGTTGCTGCCCTTCGGGATCGCACCGCCCGGCCGTTTGTACGCGTTTTTCTCTGTACGCTTTCTCTAGCGTCTTCCTTGCTCTCTAGTAGTCATGCGCTGCTGCTAGAAGAGCCTGTTCCTGGTTTCTTCGTGGGAAGAACCGCTCCAGAAGCTTGGTTCACTGTCCGCGCGTGTGGCGTCTTTTCGAATTGAAGGCGTGGTTGCCGGGGCTACGAATAGTTACCGCGGAAGAGGTCACTAACAAAATTAGTCACCGCTAAACTCGCAATCTGATTGGTCAATTGCGTGTTACCGTAGTTTAATACCTAGTAGTACGTAAAAATGAGTGGAGACAAGTAAATTAAAAATCCTGCGAATTTAAAAAAGAGGCATATAGGGATTGTATAAAAAGAAAGGGAGACAAGATAGGGATGGGATACATGAAGCATGGTTAATGAACAGATTTCAGTACGCTGACACCCCCAACCCCATCATACAATCCCTATATTGTATGATGGGGTGACTTCTTGTGCCTTCGAGATACACAGAGCAAGCGGGCCCGGTCAAATTAGCATAATAACCGCATGCGCATTTTCCGCAGCGATAATAATGGCCGACTACGTATTAGCTGTACAATGCTTGAAGCGCTCTGGCTTTGCAACGGAGTATTTTCAGAGAAAACTGCACAAAATATCTGACCTTCAATGCCCGTTAAGTAGGTCGTATCATTTGTGAGACGAACAAACACTTAATAATGAGTAAGTGTAAGTGACCACATGAGAAAGGTTAATCATGTCTACTCAATGCAAAAGTACGATTTCAGGGTCAGGTTTAGCATGGCATGATGTGTAATCATGTAAGTATAATACTCTCTATAAAACCACCTAGATGATAAAACTACAATTCAGATTGGCTTATCATGGATACTGAATTAAAACCGTTTTTGCCAAATTCATTACCTACTACTCTGTGTGTCACGTCAGGATGGGTGGAGTTCACTGATGGCTGCATCTCAGGAGGGACATGTGGAGGTGGTGGACAAGTTATTACAACATGGAGCCACAGTAGACCTGCAAAAAGAGGTACACACACTATATGTACATAATGCAAACACGTGTGCAAAACTTAATCTCAGAACAGTGGTGAAGGGAATATGTGTTCTATGAAAAAGTCTGTTGTATAGGTCAGGTGCACGATTAGCAACACAGCAGATTTCATTCCGTTTTACCAGTTACATAATTATACATGAAGCGTCCGTCATTTTCCATATAGCATAAAAACATGTGGCTTCATTGTTTAAGAAGCCGGCCCAATGTCTTTCTTTTTACCCAAAAATGCTCATGGCTTATAGCTCCGCTCACCACAGCTTAACATATGTACTATATTAGGATCATTATCCATGGTTTGTCCGTCTGTTTCCACGTTTTCTGCCACCACGTGAAACGGGACAACAAAAGAGCGATATCAAAAGGTTCAGAGATACACTGGCTAATTTTTAATTGGGCAAATTTTGTAAAAGTATTGCGTTCCAGACTTAAGGCATGAAAAACTACGATTCAGATTGGCTAATCATGGATACTGAATCAAAACCGTTTTTTGCCAAATTCATTACCTACTACTCTGTGTGTCACGTCAGGGTGGGTGGAGTTCACTGATAGCTGCATCTCAGTATGGACATGTGGAGGTGGTGGACAAGTTATTACAACATGGAGCCACAGTAGACCTGCAAAAAGAGGTACACACACTATATGTACATACGCAATGCAAGCAAACGCGTGTACAAAATGTAATCTCAGAACAGTGAGGTGAAGGGAACATGCATACTTCATTCTATGAGCTCTCTGAAAAAGTCTGTCATCTAGGTCAGGTGCACGATCAGCAACACAGCAGATTGCATTTCGTTTTATCAGTTACATATACATGTAGCATCCAAAATAGCATAGAAACATGTGGCTTCATTGCTTGAGAAGCCAGCCCCAATGTCTTTCTTTTTACCCATTCCAAAATTCCCAATGGTATATAGCTCAGCTCACCACGGCTTTATATATGTACTATATTGGTGATGATTAGGATCATAACTGTGTGGTTTGTCCGTCTGTTACCATGTTTTCTGCCACCACGCCCAACGGGACAACAAAAGAGCACTACCAAAAGGTTCAGCACTACACTGGCTTGATTTTAAGTTTAGTGAATTTCGTAAAAGTACTGGGTTCCAGACTTATGGCGTAGAAAGCAACTGAAACTGCAATTCAGATTGGCTTCTCATGGATACAGAATCAAAACCGTTTTTTGCAAAAATCATTACCTACTACTCTGTGTGTCATGGCAGGATGGGTGCAGTTCACTGATGGCTGCATCTGATGAGGGACATGTGGAGGTGGTGGACAAGTTATTACAACATGGAGCCACAGTAGACCTGCAAGAAGAGGTACACACACTATATGTACATAATGCAATGCAAGCAAACACGTGTACAAAACGTAATCTCAGAACAGTGAGGTGAAGGGAACATGTGTATATACCTCATACTATGAGCTCTCTGAAAACGTCTGTCGTCTAGGTCAGATGCACGATCAGCAACACAGCAGATTACATTCCGTTTTATCAGTTACATATACACGTAGCATCCATCATTTTCAAAATAGCATAGAAACATGTGGCTTGATTGCTTGAGAAGCCAGCCCCAATGTCTTTGTTTTTACCTGAAAATACCCATGGTATATAGCTCCGCTCACCACAGCTTTACTATGGTGACGATTAGGGTCATTATCTATGGTTAGTCCGTCTGTTACCACGTTTTCTGCCACCATGCGCAACGGGGCAACAAAACAGCGATACCAAAAGGTTCAGCGCTACACTGGCTTGGTTTTATGTTTAGTGAATTTCGTAAAAGTACTGCGTTCCAGACTTATGGCGTAGAAACCAACTGAAACTGCAATTCAGATTGGCTTATCATGGATACCGAATCAAAACCGTGTTTTGCCAAATTCATTACCTACTACTCTGTGTGTCACGTCAGGATGGGTGGAGCTCACTGGTGTATGCATCTCAGAATGGACATGTGGAGGTGGTGGACAAGTTATTACAACATGGAGCCACAGTAGATCTTCAAGATAAGGTATTAATTGCAAAGCATTATTGAGTAAGTGTAAGTGACCACATGAGAAAGGTTAATCATGTCTACTCAATGCAAAAGTATGGTTTCATCGTCAGGTTTAGCATGGCATGATATGTAATCATGTTAGTATAATACTCTCTATAAAACCACCTAGATGATAAAACTACGATTCAGATTGGCTTATCGTGGATACTGAATGAAAACCGTTTTTTTGCCAAATTCATTACCTACTACTGTGTGTCACGTTAGGATGGGTGGAGTTCACTGGTGGCTGCATCTCAGGAGGGACATGTGGAGGTGGTGGACAAGTTATTACAACATGGAGCCACAGTAGACCTGCATGATAAGGTGTGTATTGTTTATGGATAATATAACACTGCAAGAATGACTGAGTGAATGTAAGTGAGCGCATGAGAAAATCTCTTTATGTCCACCCATGTGTTCAGAATTTAGTGTAGCATGCAAGACACATGTAATCATGTGAATATATCTCAATCCAAAAACACTCCTGTGACTGCAGACAACCACAACTACATGGTATTGTAACTAGGGATCAGATTGGCTTAGTTTTCAATTAATGGTACAGACTCACCGGAACTGTTTTGTGCCGAATTAAATGTACTTATGTTGTTACCTACTACCCTGTGCCTCTTGTGAGAAAGGGAGTAGTTCACTGATGGCTGCATCTCAGAATGACATGTGGAGGTGTGACAAGTTATTACATTACAACATTGAGTCCACAGTCATAGATGTTCAACCTTCGCTAAGACCACACCACCGTTTTGTTGTGAACATTTCGAGATGACAGATTGCTGCTACGTTCTGAAAGTTAACGTGTCGCCTCAGGAAGGGGAGTAGTTTCCGGAACCTTAGACTTTTATGTTCTTTCGTGATACGCATGCGCACACACGCCTCCCTCGAAGAACGGAATGGGAACAAGCTGTCTAGGGTAGGCAGACAGCATGGAATATGTATTCTATCCCCTCACAAAATCTATGTGCTGGTCACAGAGACTATTGGGAGTAAGTAATACGATGTATAGAGGATACTCACACACGTCTATGTAGTTTAAATAGGGTAATAACAGGAGAATGTTCCTAATCATGGATACTCATGGTTTTCATGTCTCCCTGTAAAAAACAGTATGTTCAAAATCTCGGTGTATGATAATAGAATGAGATAACCTAGTAATGTCAGTTTGCCTCACAAGTTTGCTAATAGTTTTTGACCACACCACTATATACTCTCAATACTGAGCACATCAGGTGAAGGGAACATGCATACTTCATACTATGAGCTCTCTGAAAAAGTCTGTCGTCTAGGTCAGGTGCGTGATCAGCAACACAGCAGATTGCATTCCGTTTTTTCAGTTAGCATCCATCATTTTCAAAATAGCATAGAGACGTGTGGCTTCATTGCTTGAGAAGCCAGCCCCAATGTCTTTCTTTTTACCCGAAAATGCCCATGGTATATAGCTCCGCTCACCACAGCTCTTACATATGTACCATATTGGTGACGATTAGGATCATAACTCTGTGGTTTGTCCGTCTGTTACCATGTTTTCTGCCACCACGCGCAACGGGACAACAAAAGAGCGATACCAAAAGGTTCAGCACTACACTGGCTTGATTTTAAGTTTAGTGAATTTCGTAAAAGTACTGCGTTGCAGACTTATGGCGTAAAAACCAACTGAAACTGCAATTCAGATTGGCTTATCATGGATACTGAATCAAAACCGTTGTTTTGCCAATTTCATTACCTACTACTCTGTGTGTCACGTCAGGATGGGTGGAGCTCATTGATGGCTGCATCTCAGAATGGACATGTGGATGTGGTGGACAAGTTATTACAACATGGAGCCACATTAGATAAAGTATATATCAATTGCTAAACACTATTTATAATATTGAGTAAGTGTAAGTGACCACATGAGAAAGGTTAATCATGTCTACTCAATGCAAAAGTATGATTTCAGCGTCAGGTTTTGCATGGCATGATATGTAATCATGTTAGTATATACTCGCGATATAAACCACACTAGATGATAAAAACTACGAGTCAGATGGCTCTCATGGATACTGAATCAAACGTTTTTGTGGGTGCCAAAGGACAGGAGCAACTACTGTGTGTCACGAGAGGATGGGTGAGGTCACGTGGATTGGCTGCAATCTCAGGAAGGCATGTGGAGTGTGGACAAGTGATTACAACATGGCAGCCACAGTTCAGTAGACCTGCATGATAAGGTGATGTGAGTGTTTATGGATAATATAACCACTGCAAGAAGGATGGTGAAGTAAAAGTGGAGCGCATGAGAAATATACTTTATGGTCCATCCGTGTTGTTGTAGCATGCAAGACAATGTAATCATGTGGAATATATCGCCCGAATTAAATGACTTATGTTGTTACATAATACCCTGTGCCCTTGTGAGAAGAAAGAAGAAAGGGAGTAAGTAGTTTAACTGATGGCTGCCTCTCAGAATGAACAGTGGAGGTCGGTGGTGGACAAGTTTATTACAACCTGGAGCCACAGTAGCATCGGCAAAATCGCTAATAACAACACCAGTTTTGTTGAACATTTCAGATGACAGATTTGCTGTACGTTTCTGAATTTAAGTGTAGATCAGGGAGTAGTTTCGGGGGGGGGCGGCCGCAATAACAGAATGTTATTTTTCTTTGTGATACGAATGCGACACGCTCCCTCGAAAGAAAGGAAAAGGATGGGAACAAAGCTGTCTAGGGGTAGGCAGCAGCATGGCAAATTTTTATTCCCTTCCCAACAAAAAAATAAAGCTGGTTCACAAAGACTAATTGGGGGGGAGTAAGTAAATACTATGTATAGAGGAACTAACAACTCGATGTAGTGTAAATGGGTTAATAGAAGGAGAATGTTCTAATAATGGATCTCGATGGTTTTATGTCTCCCTGTAAATATGTTCAAAATCTCGGTGTATGATAATAGACTGACGAAGGCCTAGTAATGTCCGTTTGCCTCACTAGTTTGCTAATAGTTTTGACCACACATATATACTCTCAAATACTGAGCACATCAGGTTGTGAGGGGAAAATGCATACTTCATACTATGAGCTCTATGAAAAAGTATGTCATCTAGGTCAGG